GTGTTTCTTTTTCTCCATAGGCCTTGAAGGCATCATATTTTGCGTCTTAACGTCACCAGAGAAGCTTCTACATTCAGATATTAGTGAGCAAGAATAAGTCTATTGTCGTGGTAAGATTTGTTTTGCTATTTTTTTTTTACACTTCAGTTGTCAGAAAACAAAAGCTTAATAAGTTGGAGTTTAATAGTTTGGTTCTTTCAACAATTTTATTGAATATTTGTATCAGACTCCTAGCTAAATGTAATGCTAACGGTAGAGCTAGCTCTGCCCTCCTAGGTTAGCCTGTTAGCTCTACATACATTATTATCACTAGGATTTTATTACTCTGCTGTGTTTTAATCTCTTTCGGTTATCGAAAAATAAAAATGAGACATTTTACATTTTAGTGACCCTGTTTCCGTCACTGTATCATTATTATTCGGCTCTGTAATTCTGTTTGCTGTCATTTATAAACCACTCTGACATCTCTTTGTCTTTTCTTCCTCTCAGATGTGCATTCTTTCTTTGCAAGTATGGAGTCTCAGAATTCGAATCTCACCTGCGCCATATGCCTGGAGCGTTTCAGATACCCTGTAACCATCCCCTGCGGCCACACTTTCTGTAAAGACTGCATCACCACTCACTGGGACACTAAGAGCAGGTCCAACATCGGCCCTCAGTGCCCCATCTGCAACGATGAGTTCCCCTCCAGACCGGTTCTGAAGCGGAACGTGTCCCTGTCGGTGCTGGCCGAGGCTGCCAACAGCACGGCTGCATCCTGCAGGGAGCATCCGATTAGGTCAGGGGATGGAGGGAGGACCATGCTGCTGTGCGATCGCCACAAGAAGCCACTGGTTTATTACTGCAGACAGGACAAAATGCCTGTTTGCTACGAATGTGGCATCAAAGAATGCATCAATCATGACAGAGTCCTGTTGGAGGCTGAGCGGGAAAACCAAGAGGTAGAACCCGCCACCTTTATTCAGTTTCATTCAGCTTTTTAGGATGAAGGTTAAAAGCATTTTCTCTGTTTCCTTACAGCTGCTGCTGGAGAGAAAGAGTAAGGAGGCGGAGAAACGCCTTGAAGAAACACAAAAGAATATAAATGACTTGACGGAGAATATCAGTCACGCTAAGGTGATGCTCAGTTTTTACATTTTTACGTCACTAATGGCTCTTTTTTTCGACAGTAGGCTGAAGGGCAGATTATACTTCTGCATCTGCACACATCAAATGTAGCTTGAGTCTGGTCGCCAACCGGTTTTGCTGGTATGCTTATGCACCGTCGGTCTGGAATTTCTAGGGGCGTACAGCAGTTTCCCACCAAAGTGCAAGGGGGAGCCTATTCGAGAACTTGCAAGAACTTCGGCGGATGGTCACGAGAACTTTGGCGGCAGCGGCAGGAGTGTTTATCATTCAAAACAACAATGGAGCGTCTGCAAGATATCACAGAGATGGATCTAGAGTTGCTAGACATCAAAGAGGAACAGGTTCTGTTAATGGAGTTGACAAAAAGAAAAAGGAGGACGCGTAGGTTGTCCATTGTAGTTGTTCCTTGGTTTTTAAAAATGGCGCGCCCCGGCACCGAATCAAGAGGGATGACCACACAGACAGCTGGAAAGGCATATCATGGACCAATCACAGCTTCCTTTTGTTTACACACTTCTGTTTGAGGTCTGCGCAGGTTTGCGACCGTCCGACGCGTAGTCAGGATTTTTTTGAGATGTGCGACAACGGTTGCAGAACCTCTGAGACAGATTTGACGGTTGCAGAGGATATGCTTCAGAAGCATAAATTGGCCTTGACAGAAGAGGGTGTAAGAGAGAGAGGGAGAGACAAGCGGGAAAGGACCACAGGCTGGATTTGAACCCCGGTTGATTTATGCAAATCTGTCTCTGTGCGCGACCACGCCCCCCCTCAAAAAAGTCCTTTCTACGCGTCGGACGCTCGCAAACCCGCACAGACGTCTAGCGGAAATGCGCAGACTTTAAAAAGCCGCTGTGATTGGTCCTTGGTATGCCTTTCCGGCTGTCTGATAAACGCTCCCGCTGGCACCGCCGAAGCTCTCGTGACCAACCGCCAAAGTTCTTGCGAGTTCTCGAATATGCTCCCCCTTGTACTTTGGCAGGAAACTGCTGTGCGTCCCTAGAAATTCCAGACCGACAGTGCAGAAGCATACCAGCAAAACTGGTTCGCGACCAGACGCAAGCGACATTTGATGTGTGCGGTTGCAGAAGTATAATCTGCCATTAAGGATCGTACATGGGTCGTACGCGCTAACCTCTGCTCCACCTGCACGCCCACATTTGCAAACTTAGCAAACCCGTTCTACTTGGTTTCTTAAAAAGGTGACATACGATGTACTAAAAAAATCTTTGCACATTTAAGCTTTTTTTCTTTATTTTTTGGGGTAATCATGATACTAAATAGTGAACATCCACCTCTCTTTATACCTGCTATCCATGCAGGGCGCAACTTTTCAGTGGGGTCCATTTCAATAAGCAGGGTTAACCACCTCCGATTCAAATCCTCACCTCTAAATTGATCTAGCCTGAAGTCAGGAACTCTTAGTTTTCGGTTTCACAATGGCTGCTCTGAATTAGTTTAATCAACTCTAAGTAGAACCACTCAGAGTTAAATACCTGCGTAACAAGCATTTAAAGTCTTTGTCAGGGGAGCCACAATTTGACGAGTCACCATGACGACAAGCAACAGGAAGTGCTTATTTCACCCCACTGGAACTAGACATTTTAATGCAGAAATACAAAAAAAACAACAAAAAAAACCCCAGCAGAACCAGGCTCGGTGTGAGCGACCATCTGCCGAGGCCGACTGGGGTTTAAGGAGACAGAAGCAGAGATACAAAAAGCAACTGTGAAATAAAACAATACACAAATATCAACTGTAAGGTTTCAAACTCATGGGATTTATTAAATCCAAGACAGACGTCCATAAAAGGATAAACCTTCCTGCTGTTCTAGGGATTTTTAACCTAACCTAAGGTTGTTATAGAAATGGACCCAATACCCAAGCTAGAATTTCCTGAGCAGATACAGACATTAATATCAGTGTAGCATTTAAAAGATGTTAATGCTTTAAAAAAAATCTTTAGTAAGTTGATAGGACAGGTTCCAAACATGTATACAGAAGGTAAGGGGGACAGAGGTTAAAAGCTAAACCCAACAAACCCCCATGATGCATCAGCCAAAAGTCCCACAGCCTTAAACCAAACAAGTCATTTAAATAAAAACAAAATAACCACAATAGCGCAATATACAAATGACCAAAATTAATATTAATTAAGAAGAACATCTAACAATTTGAAGAAAAGTAAACTTAAGATAAAACAAATATTATAAATAAATATAAACAAAACAAATATACCATAAAGCATACCAAGATAAACATAAAATATAAATTCAGTCTCCTATGATCAGATCAGTGTTTCTCTACCAATAAAAGTCGGAAAAGGACCGATTTTCAAAATGTAGACGATAGAAATGGCCAAAGTCTGGCAAGCATTAGTGTCCAGCTTGCTATGTATGCTAATATGCCTCCTATTGTACCCAGCTGTCAACCTGACAAGAGCACGATGCTGGGTCACAGGGTTTGAGCTGTGGAGAAATTTAGCTTAATTATGGACATGGTGTAGAGTTAAGGGGGAAAATATTAGCTGTCAGGATTAATCATAGAAGCAGATAAGAACCCTGTGGTAACTCTGGAGAAGCTGCATTGATTAGTCAAAATTAACGCAAGAAAAAAAGGGTTTATATACTTCCACTTAATTATCTTGTAGTTTCACTTAATGTCACTTACAATTTCAGTAAAAACCAATTAAGGGTTTTGTTGCAGAGAGACGCTAGAGACGTTTATTACCTTGATGCTGCTAAAAGAGGCGGTTACGACCGGTCGATGCATGAATCAAACTCTTTAAAGACTAAAAGGCTTTTAAACTGCATGAACCAGTTTTTCTCCAGCAATCTGTGTAACCGATCCTTCCATCGGCAGGTTATTGTAGATCAGACCTCCTCCTGGATGAAGGTGAAATTCTCCAGTCTGATCAAGATCCTGGCTGAGAAGCAGGAGGCCACGGAGCGGTTCATCGAGGAGCAGAAACAGGAAGCCATCGTGGAGGCGGAGACGCGGCTGGCCCGCCTCGAGGAGCGCTCCAAGATCCTGACAGAGACCCGCGATCAAATGGCAGCTCTGGGCCAGCTCTCCGATACAGACCTCATCAGGGTTGGTACCTCCAAGACGGCAGTGTTTACAAAACATCAACTGTTTTATTCGCTTGTGAAGCAGTGGAATCAGAATGGAGGATTTTAAATAAATGAAAGCACGGATAAATATAACTCTCTTTAGTTCTGATTTTACTTCCCTCCTTTAAAAAAAAAGCAGCTGTTGTCGGGCTTGGATTATTTTATTTTTGAGTCACTTTGATCTCCTCTAAGAAGACTTAATTTTCCCTCAGGAATCAACACGGGTAGAAGTGCCACATTTCAGCGACATCACCACAGACGTGTCGCCAAATCTTCTGGATCGATTAAACGGCGTCACAGACGTTCTGACCCGAGTTTCCAAGCTGGTTTCTGAGGACCTGGAGAGAGCCGTGTGCACCGCTGTGGTTCAGGACGGCGACGGTGAGCTTTCTGCTGGGCTCCTCAGGACTTTCTCCTCACCTGTGTTCTCATGTGATTCCTGGCTTTGCAGGTTCTCCTCAGGATAAGAGGCCGGTTCTGGCTGTGGTTCCCAGTCCGGCTGCTCCGTGCCTCCCAGGAGGGAAGGAAGGCCTCAGCGCCTGTGAGTCCTGCTTGGAATCAACCACAGGGGTGAAGCTTTTACTGTTCTGATCTCAGATTTGTATCCGTCTCTTTGCAGATCGGTGCACTCTGACCTTTGACCCTCGAACTGCCAACGAACACCTGTATCTGTCTCATGAGAACCGAAGGGCAGAGCACCTGACCTCTGGGCCGCGCCGTGTCCCAGCTCACGAGGCGCGCTTTGACCACACCTGGCAGGTGCTCTGCTTTCAGGGCTTTAAAAACGGACAGCACTACTGGGAGCTGGAGGTGTCCAAACCGTGGGCGTACCTCGGGGTAAGGCCGCTGCTGGTTCCGCTCAGGATATTTAGGATGCTGACTTGTTCGCATTTTAAATGCATTTCTGTCCATCCAGGTAACCTATGAGACCATCCCCAGGAAGGAGAAGGGCAAGAGGTGCATGGTGGGAATGAACGAACTGTCATGGAGCCTGCAGCTGGACGAGCACCAGCTCTCAGCCTGGCACAACGGGCGGCGGGAGACTCTGGCCGGCCCCTCCCACCACAGCCGCATCGGCATGCTGCTGGACTACGAGGCGGGGACGCTCACCTACTACGGCGAAGGCCAGACCAGGCTCCACGCCTTCCACTGTGTCTTCACCCAGGAGCTGTTTCCTGCCTGCTGGATAGGAGAGGGCGTCAGCATCACCCTCTGCTCCACGTGAGCCCAAACAGAAGGCGCCACTTGCCGGTTAAACACGGAGAAACTTCTTTTATCTGTTAGAACTCTTTCTCCCTTTAAACGACTGCTGGTTTATGACCATCGTCTCCTGGAAACCTTCAAGCATCTTCATCTGAACGGTTTCATCCTACTTTAGACCATTTTGGATCGAGCTCACTGCATACGATTTCATTCTGCAGCCAAACAGATGCTTTAAAGCAAATGATGGAAACGTCTAAAAAAAACAAAAACATTTCATATCAAACTGTCTCTGCTGTATGTTCGTATCGACAGATGTGATTCAGCAGATTGACTGCAGGATTAAAGGAGACACTCTAACTTTGTAACCAAAGTGAGGGTGTCATTAATGGGTTAAACATAGTCGTCAAGAGGAGACCTTGTGTTTATAAAGAGCTGATGGTTCCAGAAATGTCCTGTTAGTCCCTCTCTTATTTTAATTATTTAAATTTGGAAACAAACTGTTTTTTAAACAACTGGCTAAAAAAAGGCCCTCATATAGTGGATTTTCTCAAATCTAGACAGGTTTATAATGATCCATACAGGTTCAAATATGTTCATCCACCTCCTATAAAATCCCCCTTTTTAACCAGTTAACTTATCCAACTGGTTATCTGAGCGCTTGTCTTTGTTTCAACCAATTGGTTAATTTAAGGTGATGAATTTAAAAAGTTGTCCTCTATTACTGCACCCCAATATTTATCAGACCTCTCGCCCCCCAGTATGATGCAGCCACCACTGTGTTTGACAGCTGGTACAGTGTTTATAGATTCAACTCTTCTAAAAGGTGACTCTTCATAATTTCCATCTGTCAAGCGTGGCGGTGGTAACATCATAATATGGTCTGTTATCCTGCTTTTTGCACACACTGGATGAAGCAATCAGGTTAATGTGGAACTCCTTCCCATAATCCCATCTTCAGCCGTGTGGAGTTTGTTTCAGGAAACAACCTCTGCAAAGTAGAAAGGCCAAATATCCGTGATGTCAGGAAGATTCTGCTTGGAAGGAAACATTTCAAGCCTGAATGTCTAAATTTGTTCATTTTGGAGGATTAAAAGAAAATCAAGATTGTGGATTTAACTGTTTTTACAAAAGTTTTAATGTTGTTCTACACTTGAAAAGAACTGTTCAGGTTTATAGATGAAAGCTAAACCTGATAAATTGATGGTCAGGATTCCTGCTGGAAACACTGGAATAATAAAGCCACGTAGCTTCTTCTAGTCGAACATCGCCTCCCTACATCTGCTGCAGTCAGATTAGCATTTTATTAGAAAACTACGTTTCTGAACGTAGAGGTACTACTGAGAAACGAGTTTGGTTCTTTCAGCATGAATTCAGGAAGTGATTTCTGCAGCGAGATGCTGGAATCAGCAGCACTTTTCCGATGTTTTCGGCTTTGTTTACAACAATCAGCCTTATTTTTAGTGTTTAATGAGCTTAGCTGTAAGCCTTTAGCAGGTCCAGGTAGCTGGGGCTCAGGATTTTGGGAAACCGCTGTGGATTTGCACAAAAAAAGAGCGAAGAGGTTTACTGGTTTTACTCCCCTTCTCACATTTTAAAGGCGGACATTCAATGCTGTCAAAATGTGACAACAATCCTTACTAAGGGAATAAAAACACTTCTCATTTATGAGTTAAGAGCCATTTATTAAAACTTTTACCTAATGCACACATGCTTCTGTTTAGATCATGCCTTTTTTTCCTATGTGAATCACTCTGCATTAACTGTTCAATAAATTAGTTTGAAATAAATAGAGCTGTATTTTATTGTACATCCAGCCATGACAGAGCAAACTGTAGCCTGATGCATAGCATTCTAAAAGTGCAAAGAATCAGCAGCCGATGTGCGACAAGATACAGGATACAGATAAATGACCACAGAGGAAGGAAGGAAGGAACGAGGCTCAGATACTGACACGCTCAGATCGACTGAAACCGAGGAGTTTAGATTACGAGCACAGAAACTGAGACGGTCCTCTGAGCGGTCATGTTACTATCAGGGAAAAATGGACGTCAGAGAAATGAGGTGTAGTCTGAGCATCACCGAACAGGACGTGACATCATCGGGTGGCTGGTCTGCTCCTGGCGGGATAATCCACCCTCTGCTCTAATCCCGGATCAGGGATTCACTGCCGGGGGCTTTAATCTGTGTAGTCCTCTTATATCCACTAAAGCATGTCAAAACAGAGATTTTACAAAAACTACTCCATAACTTCACCTTAGTGTTCTCCATAAAATAGCCTCTCTTTAAACCTGTACAACCAAAGAATAGAAAAATAAGCCTGCATTTAGTTCGCCTCTGGTCATTTTAGTGAAACAAATACCATCAGAGCTAGAGCTAAAGGTGGGGACGGGTTCAGGGGACACAACGGGAAGGCAACCAACACCAGAACCATCCGTTCTTGTCTCTTGTTACTTTCTAGGAAGTAAAAGGTGCTTCTGAGGAGAACCAAGCAGACCACACTGAGGGAGACATCGAGGAGGAATGAAAATGTTAGTAAGGAAGACCCAGAGGGGAGATGAGGACTAAATCCCTCCTGATGTAGAGTCAGTGGAATGAGAGAAGAGATGGTCCAGAAGGAAGTGGGACAATCAGGGGGGGTCGAGCACGTCTACTGGTTCTTCTTGTCCTCTGGAGGAGAGTACGGTGGAGGCTTGTCCTGCAGAGACGAGAGAGCAGCTGTGACTGCTGGAGCAGAACTAATAACTTCAGATATCATAAAAATGAACCCACAAAGTTTAAAAAGTGGTGATTATGGTTCAAATCTAAAGTACAAGTTCCCAATTTCTTTAACACTTTGACCCAAACTATCAGCTTCAGATAAAGCAGATCAGTAAAGATGCTCAGAATGAACACTGAACACCGCCAGTAGCCTCAAACTGCTCCATCATCAATGTTACTGTAACCCCCAGATTCCACATCCTCTGCCCCGCTCACGTACGTCATGCAGAGTACCCGTCTTTCAATTTAATCCATGAGAGCTGTTCCACATTCACTGCTACTCTTCAGCATGTCACCGTCCACGTACTTCTCTGTCCATCACCGCAGAGCTATGTTTTGCTCCAGGTCAATATTCGTAATTACAATCACACCAAACAGGAAAAAAGAACAGCGAGAAGATCCTGTTTGTCAAATCAAAATATAATAACGATGGATTGGTAAATACAAATTAGAGAATCATTCTTATATATTCCCAAAACCTAAGGCAGTTTAATTAAACTGGATGCCAACTGTTGGTACTTCAACAGACCAGGAAGCAGATTACTCATCTCCCTAAAAATATATATTTTATACAGAGAAGCATAAAAGTTTAATTAAATCCAGTCAAAAGAACAGAAATCAACAACAAAAAGAAAATATTTGGGCAGAAGCTGCACATATGCTGGATGCTGATGGGGATTTTTTTTAATGTGTCATATTAAACGTTCATTTCAGCATGTTTTGCTCCTGTGAATTTTGGCCATAATATCGCGCATGCTCCCCTCGAGCTCAGAGGAAGTCGGTGCGGACGAATAGTGGAGGCTGTAAGGTGAGCGGAGCGGTGACCGAGTATGCGGAAAGGAAACACCATGCTGAGGAGCCATAGGCTAAGTGATGGCAGCATCATGCTGTGGGGCTGTTAAACTTAGGGTGTCATTAATGGGTTAAACAGTCGTCTAGAGGAGACCTCTTAAAGGATATTTGATCATATATGAATAGATGAATATTTGATTAAACCTTAGAAAATCCATATTTAATATCAAACTTGGCCTCCAACTTTTATTGTTAAATATCAAAATGTTTGGAAGGTGAGTTTAGGGCGTAATATTACCTGTGGCAGGTACACATGTGTAGGAGGCAGGGTGGCAGGGCTGGCGCTGGCTGCTGCTTCTGCTGCTTTAGCCTCCGCTAAGAAAGAATGGCAGAGAACAGGAATGGATGTTAGCTTAAAATGTCGTTCATTATTAAAATCTCACCGGTGAAGGTCAGAAAAGAGCCTAAGAACTTGTGGAGCTTTTAAAATAAAGTATACACACCCCTTATGTGCTGATTTTACAAAATTGTATCTATTTATCAAAGGATTTTATGCAGTAAAAAGAGGTAAAATTAGTTGTAAAGTGGAAGGAAAACGATTCATGGTTTCACTTCTTTAAAAAACAACCTGCAGGCTCATGTTTCAGCCCAGATGAGACATCAGAACCCCGTTTTTCTGCAACTGTAAGTCCTAAAAGTTCAAGCTATTAATCTGAAGTGAAACAGCTCAAACCAAAAAAACATTTCTTAAAAACAAGCAGGTTTTTCTTCTCATGAACCTAGAGATCATTATCTGCGCAAGGTTTGGCTCCATCCTTTGGTAATACTGATGATGCTGGCGGTGCGTCACTTCCATATAGATAGATGACAACCTTTACATCCCTTCTAGACAAGGAACAATAGAGCACACAAACCATCCATATGTAACAGGGTTCCTCATCAGTGTGTTTCTGTGCAACAGGCCGATACGCTTAAAGTTCTCACCGCTATGCTAATATTAGCTCATTTCCATCCAAGATTAGAAGGATTAGATAGAGGAATGAACGTCTCCAATATTGAAAAGAGAACAAAAGACAATGGAGTGGGATAAGTTAGCAAAGATGCAAAAAAAGGAAAAGATATGGTTACAGCCGAGAAGATTAAAGTTAATCATTTCACTTAAGACTCCCTTCTGATGCAATGGAAAGACTTTTGTGTTGAAATGTATAATAACATAAAAATATCAAGGGGTGTGAATACTTTCACCAGACTAATTACAACAGACTAATAAAAAAAATATTGTGATTTAAAATATTAGAGAAACACGATTGTCTATTTTTACACCTAAAACAATGAAAACCATTTTATTTTGTGTGTTTGAGAGCCGTCTGCGTGGAGTCAGAGCCTCACCTGCTGCTGAGGACGGCAGATCTGGGTCACGTGGCGGCTGCTGACCCAGAGGAGCAGAGTAGGGGGGTGGAGGTACATAGCTGGCAGAGGCATCGAAAGCTGGAGGACTCGGGTAGAACCCCCCTGGAACAAAATAAGATTGTAGGATCACTTTCAGCAGGCGTAGAACATGCTGTCCAGTCCTGGTCCCTACCTGGAGGAGGAGGATTGGGGTAGGAGTAGCTGGGGGGAGGTCCTTGAGGGTACATCCCATTAGCAGGGGGAGGGGGGTAACCACAGCCTCCGTTAGCCATATAAGGGCATCCACCAAAGCCAGGAGTCACAGGTTGGCCTTTACAAGCTGCAACACATAAATAAATCAGTAAAGATTTTAGTAAACTAAAATCCGCTGCTTAGATTTGCGTCTCGTTTCTTTTACCCTGAGCTGCAACGTGCAGCATGAATTGTCCAAATTCTATGGCTCCGCCCGCAGCGAAAACAAGCTTGAAGGTAGCGCTTCCCTCCCATCCACCTGGAAGACATTTAATAAGATGATAGAAGCTCGTCTCCATTTAACAATTCAGGCCTAAGCTATGCTTGGACACGCTGTACTCACCTCCCTGCTCCGCGGTCACAGTGCCAGTGACGTAATTGGCGCCCATAACGGGTTGTTTGATCTCACAGCCCTTCATCAGGTAGAACGGCATCATAAAGGACTGCAGCGCATCCCGTCCTTTAGCCACGAAGATTACCTGCAATCAAGCCCTGGTTACTAAGGTCGCTCACGTTCAACTAAGCACAACGATTCACCCTTCTGCTTCAAGTTTAACCTAAAATCTGTCCTAAATGTTTTCCTTAAACACTGAGATGACAAAAAAAAAAAAAAAAAAAAAAAAGGAAGAGACAACATGGCAACAAGTTACACACATCTTTTCCTTTATAATGACCGCAGCATATTCAGCTAAATGTTCCTGGTCTTTATGGAAGACAGGAACTCCCACAGCATAATGATACCACCACCATGTTTCACCATACAGATGCTCGGCTTGGGTTCAGTGTTACCTCTACATCCTGTATAGCATTTTGGGTGTTTGGACACCCAAGGCAAGCTCTAAAGAAAGCTGGAAGCACAGTTCAAAAGGAAATCTAAGCTTAAACTAAACTAAGCTACGGTAAATGTTTTGACACAAACCCTGCCTCATTCTGAAAAATACATTTTTTTCTCTGAAGAAATAGAAAAAGTGGCCCTGTGAAGATATTTTGATCAGATGTATTAACAGGGTTTATACAGGAATGAGTAACTCTAATTTAATGCTTTTAAATGCTCTTTTAATGCTCTTAGAAATAATTTTAATGCCATCAACAAGTACACACACATCTTTTCTGTCGACAGGCTGCAGCCATGTCCCGAATTCTCATTTTCCAGTCACTTCTGTTGAAATATGCATTTTCCCATTCCCTTTTTCTCCGCCTCTAGCTTCTTTTCCAAACATACAGCTTCATGCTTAATCGAAAGCAATTTCGCGCAAACGCGCAGAAGCAGTTATATCGGATATATCGGACGAAATTGTTTTTATAAATGTTTTTTTTTTTTAATAAAGCATTTTAAATTCCACGATAATCACATTTAATTCATTTTAATGCAACACAAGACCTTAATTTCAATAATAAATAATAAGTTAATGACCCGCAGAAACCCTGATTAACAATGTCCTAAACAAAAGACAACAAACAAAAGGAAAATTGATCAGAGATAGTATCCTTGATCGTCCCTCTATGTACAGAACTTAGTCTCACATTGTGCAGACTAAACAATGGACCCTAATGCAAGAAACGTTCATACAAATAAATTGGTCCCTATAACGTTTGCACGAGTGATTTAGGAGTAAAACGTCAAATTCACCATTTCTCTCCTACTTCTAATCTTCTCTCAGATACAAACACATAAAACGTGACTTGACGTACAAGTCTAGCTCAATCAGTCAGCTGTTATTCAAACCCATTTTTTCACTATATGACTACATTTGTTGTTGCTTAAAAGCAACAAGCCATTTTATTAGGCTATATCATTATATATTACACAGCTCTGCAAGTCCAAATTCCATTTTTATTCGCTGATGAGATTTTTCGATAACTACACCTGCAGCTGGCGTGTCGGTTTTCAGGGTTAATTAGTTTAATTTGTTGTCATTCCATCAAAAGAAAGAAGAGTCAGTGAGATCTATGAAATCAAGCTACCATTGAAGAAACACCTGGAACAGAAAATGGATAGAAAGTTAAGAAAGAGCTTCAGCAACATGTTGCTGTTTGAAACTCTGCTAACAGTGAGACATTCGTTCATTTCACTCCATGGCGCCGCCTCTGCTTGGTTATTATGCCTGGGTCTGCCTGAATTTGTTAAATCAGAGTTTCTCTGTAAACAATTTTAATGTTTTTAAGCAGAAAGCTTGATAAAGGGATGTCAGATGTGCCTGTGTATATTAATTTGCAGAACGTTGTGTCGTGTTGGTTGATGGAGAACCTATATTAAGCATAAAGATCTCCCTCACACTCTAACATTTGGTTATTCCAAAGAAAAACACTTCAATTAATCAAGGACATAAATTTTAGCCACGGCATCAAGGAGGCTGTGTGAACTCATTACCTCATGACCTTCCCTTCACCCTTGTCTAGAGTATGGAGGCACATGCTTTCTGTCCCCCTAAACAGTACAGCATAGTGAATGTTACAGGATTTCTGTATCATTACTCCTATTCAAACAGGCACACTCAAAACATTTTATTTTACAAAATAGGCCAAGGAAAAATATGATTCCACAGCGACAACGGAGGGACAAGAGGGGGAAAAAAGAGCGGGAATCCAGGTGGAAAAGGGTCCCAGCATTCTCATGCACCTCGCCCTTCTAGCTGGTCCATCTTCATGAGTTGTTTTCCACAATGGTGGTCATACAAACAAAACAAGCCGGTAAGGTACCAAAAAGGAAATATGCATAGTGTAGAACGGATGTAGATTTGACCAATCAGATGCCTCCTGTCTGCGAGCACCTACAATTTTGGAGAGGTGCACCAGAGGGTCTGTGGCAGGGGCATATCTGCCCTAGACCTGGTTTCTAAGTATAAATCAGCCTTTACTGCTTCATCTGTGCTGATGCTGATGATACTACTACAATGAGATGAAGTTTGTTGGCCATTTTATTATTAAAAAAAAAATAAACCAATCAGCAATGTGAACTGTCAACACAACCAAATTAACCTGCAAGGTTTTTGAAGCACATGGATGTTACTGGTCATGCCACAAGCAGACCACCTGGCATTAAGAAATGAAGCTATGGAAATTAGATGACGGCTCTGGTGTTCTCATATATTTTGGAACAAACAACAAAAGAAATGTCTCACCCTGTACGGTGTCAAGTAGAGGCTCCCCTTCTTGCTCTTTCTGAACGGCTCAGGCAGGGTGTCCGCATCACAGAAAACCAACTCCACTTTAGGATGACTCATCAACACGCTAGTGACACAAACAAACACTTCAACATACATTCAGAATATAACTTATTTGATTTTCTATGTGCATCATGAACGCTATCATGTTTATTTTGAACTAACGGTTCCCTAAAATGGCTCAAGCCTCAGTTTCATAATCCTTTACTCACCCTTTTAGGATTGAGACAATTGGCTTTTTGTGTAACTGTCCGGTTACTAAACATGGCCCTGAAATAACAGGATTAGGCCCTGATGCCATCTAGTGTCCGAGTTTACAACTGATGGATGTTCTTAAATACATTCGTGTTTGTTCCAGAAGAATCCGGAGGCCAGAATTTACACCAACCCTGCTATAATATTATATATTATAATTCAATTAAACTCTTGATCAAACAAAAACATAACTGATTTTTTTCTTCGTTTTTATGATTTGTTTGTTATTGAAATAACTGTGAACTAATTTAGAAATCAAAATATCGTTAACTTGAATATAGACTCTAATTGGATTGAAATAGAAAATAAAAATAAAAACCAATTCAGAGCAGGAATTAAACCAAAACTGTAAAAGCAAAGCATACATTTTGCATTTAGGTTGAAAAGCTCATCTATCTGTAAACATGCTGCAGCCAAAACTCCTTCAGTGGAGTTTTTTTAATGATTAAGTCACGAACATGCATCTAATGTGTGCATTACTTGTTTTTTTCTATGTTCCAACATTTGTAATTTCAGCATTCATATTATATGTATTGGTTAATCGTAAACATAATGAATGATTAATCATTTATTTGACAGCTGTAGCCTTATAATATACCAAATACCAATTAATGTGTTAATTATTCTTTAATTTCAGAGTTATCGACTCATATTTTTTAAATTTTACACATATTCCTCTTTTTTAACCATGAAAGTTTGTCTCATGCTCTCATACCTGCACAGTTTAGCAAACACGCCTTCTTATTTATTACCAAACAAACCAAACCTACAGATGAGGCCAGAGTGTGGATGACCACTTCTCTTTGCGATGCATTTGGTGCTCATGAATAGTCGCAGTCAGGAAAAACAGCATTAAAACACTAAACTATCATCCTAAAAACAACACCCACCCCCATTTCTAACGCTTTTCCTACAGAAGAGGAATGGGACCACTAAAAAAAATAAACAAAGTTAACTGATTTTTAAATTTTATTTCAGTAAAATATGAGAAAAAAGTCAGAATTCTGACTGAATTCTGACAGCTAACAAACATGTAAGCATCAAGCCGTAGCCATGTCTGTTTTAATCACCTTCTGCTCCTCCATCATGCTCCTCCATTAGATGCCTGGGGATCCCTCGGGCTCGTAAAAAGTCGCCTAATTCCGTCATTTTCAACCAAAACATCTGTCAGTGAAGCTGAGTGCCCCCACATCTCTTCCTTCATGGTGCCCATCTACATTATGATCCACAATTTGGAGATTAAAGTCAGATCTCTGAGAAAAAAAAGTCAGAACTCTGAGATGAAAGTCAGAATTCTGAGAAAAGAGTCAGATTTCTGGAAAAAAAAAAAAAATCTGAATTCTGAGATTAAAGTCAGAATTCTCAGAAAAAAAGTATCAAAATTCTGACTTTTTTCCCCACATTAAACTGAATTAATATTTAAAAATCAGTTAACTTCTTTTTTTTTTTTTTTTTTATCAGTGGCCCTAGTCCTCTTGTGTAGTTTTCCTGTGATTGCACCTGAAGTCTGTTTTGATTAATGTTCATGTTTTGGTCACGAGCTGAGAGCCAGGTCTGCTAAAGGCGACAATTTTCCCTCGTGCTGGAACAACGTTTATCCACTAGAAATGTATTTTTTACACTGAAATTAAAAGTGAGAATAAGGTCAATATGTAAAGTTGACATTTTACTAAATTTGGGGTTAATTAACATATTCTACGTGGCTGAATAGCTAGATGTAATTTACTTCTGAGACTGCTTATGTGGTTGTGTTTTTATTAATTTACTTAATTAATTTTATTAATTTGCAGTGACGCGTTTATAGCGACCACAGGCAATGGCCGACAGTGGCTAACGGTGACTAAAAACTAACCTTACCTCTCACTGTTGTTGATGATGACACCGCCAGACTCTGAGTGGTTCTGGTTCAAAGTCATGGCCTCGAGCCTCCAGCGTCTCTCTAAGCGAAAACAGCTAAACTCAAAAGGTTTTCTCAGGGAAAAAAAGGCCTGGACAGCTCCCTCACACTGCGTTGGTAACGGTTGTTATGAGCCTTATTCTATGGCTGCACCTGCTTCTCTTCCGCCCTACGTTCACGTGACGTCATGCACGCGCGGATCCGAACGCAAAGACGTAAAAGTCTAGACTACAAATTATATACTAACATGTTATGTAAAATTTATTTAAAAAGTGTTTTAGATTAAGGAAATAAATATAATTTTTTATTTTTTTTATTATCTTAAAAAAAGAACACAAATATTTTAAAATTTTAAAAACAAATTTCTTTCCCACTGCCATTAGACTGCTGAATTCTGTGTAAAATTGGTTATTTTATTTATTTAAAAAAATGTTAGAACTGTAAATATACAGTCATTTGTTTATATTTCTTTTTTTTTATGTATTTATTGCTGTATAAAGCTGTTTAAACAAAATTTATTTTTGTATACACTGGTATATAAATCTGTCTAAGTCTAAATCTCTAAATACTCAAACTAATAAACAAAATTTATTTTTTAATATATATTTTTTTACTTTTAACAGCACTTTATTTACACTATTCAAACAATAGAATCAATTACTGAATGTAAAACAAGTGTGTGTTAAAAATAGCTATCTATGTAAAGACAAGTGTCAACTAAAAATCATTAAATGAGTAGCTTGTTGTATTGTAGTTCTCCATCATCTGACACAGTGCATAAAATTTTGTTAAAGCCCCACAACTGAATAAAATCCTCCATGTTCTCTGTGGAAGTGAAACTCCAGCCTTTTTTTGGCTTTAACGTTGCATAACCACAGAGCCAGGCATCAAGGTGAGGTCCCTCCTGCATTCTGTCTCACCAGGACAGGTAATAAAATTTAAAAATATAAAAAAAAGGAATTATATAATTTATTTGGTTAAGCTAATAAAAATAGAAAATAAAAACAAAATTCAGTATTAAACATTTTCTTTTATTTCTGAATAGCTGAGATGTAGCTTTACACAGAGCTAAGCAGCTTGTTGCTCAAAATACCTACAGTTATACAACAATTCTATAAAAAAAACAGTGTTGTCAAAGACAGTAGCGCTGATAATTATCAATGTTATTCTCGAGTGCTTGAACGTTGATCAGTAAAACATATTATTTGATAGTGCATGTATTTATTTTGCAATGGGCAAAAGAGTCGATGTTCCCTTACATGAATACTTGAGTGCAGTTTGTAAGTCGTAATGGCTTTGCACCTTAAAAATAGAAGGAGAAGATATACTGTGTTGTTCAGTTTAGCTACTAGTATGTTTTAGCTTTCTTTGAGCACATAGGATTTTTTTCATTGCTGTTTTGCTGTTTTTCCCATTTATTTTGTCTTTGCAGCACAAGCTAACAGAAGAACAGGCATGGTTGCCTTGCAGTTTTTCAGAGGATTTTTAGAACTTGGAATTCCTTTAGCATTATATTTCAGAACAAAGTGGACAACAAATATACAGTAATTCATAAACAAATGGAAACGGAAATTAAGCAAAAAATAAAAATAAATGAACTTACCAGATAGAAATTAAGGAAAAAATAGCACAACATATACCAGCGGATATTAAAACCAATATATGTGGCAGAATGCTAAAGACTAAAACAGTGACAAAGGTTTCTAGAGTTCTACCAAAACTAAGTGAAAATGAAAGTGTTCAACAAATTATGATACAACCGCAGATAAAGAAGATACACGGAAACATAAAGACACACAAGATATAAAATATCATCTAGTATGGATCATTTAAAAAATATGGCTGTCAATAAAAGGGCATAAACACGACTGATCACTTAATCTATTGCTTTGTTTTGTATAGAAACACAATCTTAAAACAAATAAAATGTGTTTAGGTCTATAAGTGAATCATTAAAGAAAGTAAATTAAAAATATTTGTCTTTTTTTTACCCAGCATTTAACTTCACTTTAGCGGAGCAGCTCATTTTAGGTAGTGTTGCAACATTGGGACCGGTTAGGCGCTATAGATCCACCTTGTTTTGATAGTTATATGCAAATGTGTGTTGTAGGAGGATTTTTTTCTCAAACAAAGAATATACACAGCTTTGAGTTCAAATGAGCAGGTCAAAGGACAACTCTTTCAGCTCAATGTGCTCTTTGTTGACAACACTTAGCCAAAAAAAAATCATAATTTGTTTAAAAAAATATATAACCTCTGATTGAAACATTTTTTCTAATGGGAAACATGTAAGAGCATCAAACCCAAAATTGAAAACCACTGCTGAAGGGCTGGGTCTTCAAGGAAAACAGAACTCAGTGCAAAATTTCAAGGAACCTTGTTTTGTTTTGAAATAGTGGTTAAAAAAAAAAAATAATCAATGATTCGCTAGAAATAATATTGAGAAAATACCCAAAATAATACTAATTGAAGTGTGTGATTAAAATTAGGAAGCGATTTGAAACGTTACTCATTTCATGCATTGAACCTTTTTCAAATTTTGTCTTGATCCAAAAAAAATAAATAAGACGTTTTTCACATTAAGTTCAGTTATCTTTTGTCTCTAAATAAAATTTATTGCAACGAACTACCTTCCAAATTTGCAAAATATAGAATTAATCTATCTGTAATGGTGTTCGGTGAAGGCCTCAAACATCGGCGTACAAACAGCATCATGAAAACCTAGGAGCTCAGCAGACAGACCAGACAAGAAACTGTGGAATGAGGTCACAAAACACAAACCCTGAGCTTTAAATCTCTAATAAAGGACTTTGTTTATAGATAAGCAGCCATGACTTTTACAGGAATTGGGAGGAGGTGGCAAAGCCCTGGAACCCAGGAGGGAGAATCTGTTGGCATAGCAGAAAGTAGTAGTATTGAAATTAAAGCAGCTGTTGACATATAGCCATCAGAAAGCCTGTTTAAAGTTTGCCTCAGGCCATAGAAGAGGATACTCTGGTTCGATGAGATCAAAGAGAGGAAACCCTGAACACACCATGGCGGGACACCATAGTAGCAGCATCATGCTGTAGGAATACTTCCAGTATAGGTACAGAGATAAAGACAGTGACATTAAAGTCTTAGGAAAGTGGCTGTTCCAATTGCTGCATTTCTGAATTCTCCCGAGTGGTGCACAACTTTACATGATTGAATGAAGTGAATGTGATTGGTTATTTATCAAGAGAGCGGGATTGTTGTGGTGGAAGGTTTGTAAGCAAATTTGATAGTTGACGGATTCTCGGAAGCATCTTGCTAAGCAGTTAGCTACTTAGTGCTAGTAGGTTCCAATGGGAAATAACATTGGGACCAAGTGGCACTAAATTGGTGACTTAGAAACGATACTGTCAAGGAACGCTATGGACAGCGAAAACATGCAAGAGGAGGAGAGTTTTGTGTCGGAGGTCGTGGATGACTCTCCTCCGTCATCCATTTTTTATTTAGAGGAGGCAAGCGGGGACGAAGATGTTGTGGAAGAGGACGCCAGGGCGGCAGAAGCTTGGTTTGGTGTAGAAGGCTTACACCCGTACATGTTTGAGCCCTTGCCTCGCAACGCTGCCATTTCTGTTAGCTCTACGCCTGCGGAAGACACAGACGTCCATCCCCGTGAACACTGGGGCGGAACTCAATGGTAAAGTGAATGATTCTGATTTCAACCTTTGCATATATTAGCTGCGACATATGAATCAAGATGCTATGAATGAAAAAATTTAATTGACAGATGACCGTTGGTGATTGGCCGAATTTAGGTGAACAAGATGACGTACAACTAACTGGCCTGCATAAGGTAATGAAAAAAAACAGATTTTAATACAGGATTTATTTTTTTTAATAGAAATTTGCTACATTTTGGGACAATATAGTCTGATAAAGAGCACATTTATATACATGTTTAAGCCAGAATGATTTGACGTTTAAATATGATTTCCCTTCAACTTTAAACCTTTTAAAGTAATCTTATTCTTTAGGGGAAGTATACAGCACAATTCTTGATTTAAAAGGAGCAGATATCTCAATTACAAGGAGCTTTAATCTTTGTGCCACAAGCTTGGAGAGCGGCTACTGGTCACAGTCAAAGTAAAGACCATAGCAGTTCTTAGAGGAGGTAAAAGGCTTCGGTGGTGGTTCACCTTTCAGCAGGTAACTACCTGAATCATCCACTATGATGGAAATGTTTAGATTAGAGTCAGAATGGCCCAAATAAACCTCAGACCTTTATCATATTGAGAATCCGTAGTACAGTCTAACAATAACATTCACAGAGGTTCTCTGAATGAGCTTATGTTATTTTCCAGAGCAGAATAAATTAAAGATACAGTAGATATGCAAAGCTTGTGGATTCAGTATCCTGCAGGTGTAATAGAGGCAACAGGTTAAATTCCTTTAAGCAATTTTCTTCCACTTTAAATATATAAACCACTTTTTAACATGTATATAAGTTTTTAAAAAAAGTTACAAAGTTTTTAATATTCAGTGGATATCATCATATCTATTGATTGACTTCTGATAATGATGTAAAACAAAATCCTTAAAAGATTTTCTGAACTTTTCATAAGTTTTAATAAACTGGTCTGGTGTAACAGATAGCTGCTAATTCAGTGTTATCTAATCAAAAGTTTTACATTCGTGACCAAGTTACATTAAACACCAAATTGTCAGCAGGGGGTGAGTCCCTTATCAAAATGAGTGAACGTTTGTGCCTGTAAGTTCAGATTTCCGCTTCCCAACAAAAAGTGGAGCGTGAGCTCTGTAGTGTTGCATTCAGAGGTAAAGGAACACACAAGTTGAAGAAAAACTCCTAAGTCACAGTCACTGACGTTACCAGCTTCAACAGGAAGTGATGACTTCCGGCTGCTGTGTGATAGTACATCGAAATACATTGCACACACAGCTTCCCCATATCTCACACACAGAGCACACCAGCTCACCAGGAAGGAGCCTGGTGATAAGACAGAAGCATCACTATGGCAGGTCAAAGTGAGCACACGACAAAAGGAGAGAATTTACTGCAAACACCTGAACAGGTAATCTTCTCTAATTCACTTTAAAGAGCTGATGAGCGCTCCACATGGTGTCTGCAGCCTGCTGGTAATCTGCCTTGAGATCTGGTGTTGATCAAACTGATCAAACGAACAGAAAACTTTGGTTATGAGTGTTTTTCAGCTTCAGTTTTTCTATTTAGTATATTCCCTGGTTTTTGTGTTTTGCTTTCAAATCCTAACAGGATCAAAGCTGCTGTTTTTGTTAAAAAGTATGTCCAATCTCTGAGTCACCATCTCCTGATGACTATTTTAGGGTCCGGTGACTATGAAGCATGGTGCTTTAGATGTATATTTAGGTCATATGCTCTGATATTAATTTTTGGTCGACTTATTTAAAGAAGTGTGTGTTTCTGATGGGCTAGAATGCTGCTTTATTAAACACAGGGCATCTGTGCAGGGTTTTTGTGGTCATGCATTTTTAAAAACCATCTGGCTTTGCTTTGCCTTCTGCATGAAGAGGTTGTATCCGTGTATATTTGCATGTCTACCTTCAAAATGTGACATTCCCGCTTCAGATGTTATGTTTTCCTTTTTTCCCAGTTGAAAGTATTAAGCACCATCACAGTTGCCTCTAAGTAATTTTCATAATCAGCAATAGAGGAAGTTTGAACTCTGTGAGGGAGGCATTTTGAGAAACTAAACAATAACTTGATTATTTCCTAAGCATATCTAGTACAGAAAATATTCTAGTTTTGAGTAAAAGTGTTTGTTGACATTTGCAGCTCTCTTATTGGTTTTTAAGTGAGTTTTGCTGTTAACTGTTTTCCAGGAACATGGCACACCAAGACACAGGCAGGTAAATAATATCAGCCTATATTCAAACTGTATTCTTTCAATGTAATGTATATCAACTGTCTGAATAACAAAGACAAATGCTTGGCTGAAGGCAAGACTGAGAGGAAAATTCAGACAGATGTCCCTAAAAATACACAAAATCAAACTTAAAATAGCATATAGTAGGTATATTTCAGCAGTTTCTTTTAAATTTGCGCAAGATTAAGTAAGAAGAAAATTTTATCAGGCAATAAACTTACTGGAATCTATGGCTAACCAGCGGGGTTAAAGGTCATCCTCATAGAAATCTGACATTTTCAGATAAGAATGATTGTGTGGAACCATTGTTTTTTTCAAACTATTGTGTTGTCTCTTGCTAAGTCATAGCGATACCTGCTCAAATGATTCTGATCCTGTTTTTACCGCGTACTATCCGACATCATAATCAGTGACAACTTGAATTATTTTTGACAGTATCATAAACCCGAAAATGGATTCATGATATTAAGGCCACTAAAGGGACAAAAACTCCTTCTTTTTCCCATTACAGCCAATGAGAAATCAAGTTGCCTTTACGTTGCATCAATTCAATTCAGTATTCAGTTTATTTCTATAGCACCAATTCACAACACATGTCATCATCAAACAGTCAAAGTGATTCAAAGTTGTTTATCTAAGGAAAACCTGTTAAATGCATTGACTAATTGAATCAAATGCAATCCCTCACATTAAGCAGATTAGCATAAAATTTCCTCCAGATGTGTCTGACAAATTGCTGCATTTATTATTAGGCTACCACCCATATTATCAAAAGGTTCAGAGGCATTTTTCTTCCTCATATAAGATGCATTTGTTCGAGTAGATCTACTTGAAATGACTCCTCAGATGGGCCTGGGAATACCCGACCTATCACCAGCCTTCCCTCTGGAAACATCACAGTCATGTGAGGCCTGGACCAACTGACTCAAGCACAATATTTTCCCCCTGGCTGTAAAAAAAAAAAAAAAAAACGGACCTTGGCAGGACACAGACATGCTAGTATTTACCATTACAATGCACTACATTTTTTGATCTATTATTAAACAAAATATCTTTATCTAAATTGTCGTAGCTAAAAGGAGAGGCTGCCATTTCTTGTTTCATGAGTCTTATAGTCAGAGCGAGAGAGAGAAAGATAGTCAGCCGCAGTAGTCTATAATAATAGAAAATACCAAACAGCAAGGGCTTATTTTGATCAGTGATCATAATCTCTCAATCAGTCAATTGGTCCAATCATTAAAAAAAAATTCCAAAAAATTAAAAAATGAAAATCAAAAGTCAATCAAAACATTTTACAATTAAATCAAACGTTCAATTTGAAAACCTCTATGAATATTTGTTTTTAGAATTCATTAAAATAGTTAATTGCAAAAAAAAGTTAAATTATGTTCAGTGGTCTAAGTGAATCGGATATTCTCAAAATATGGGCATAACATGAGCCTGAGCCTACAGTAGTTAAAATGTCCTTTGGATCCTTCTTCTAGTGTCTATAACCTGTGGACACAGAGACAAGCAACCATCCAACACCAAAGGCCAATTTAGAAAGATTTATCAACCTAAAATAGAGGCTCAAATCCTACCTCTGGCCATTCAATGCCGAATGGCCAGAGGTAGGATTCAAACCAACAACCTTCTTGCTGCAAGGTCATTGTAGAACCACCCTTGCTGCTGTGCTGTTCACCATGCCTGAACAAAGGATGTAAACATAAAAGGATTTTGGCTGCTCAGTGGAGCAGTGCTAGCACTGTCGCCTTGCAGCAAGAAGGTTCCGAGTTCGATTCCCAGGGTCTTTCTGCATCTTAATTCTCCGTAGGTGTGAGTGAGTGTGTGTGTGAATGGTTGTTTATCTCTGTGTTGCCCTGTGATGGATTGGCGACCTGTCCAGGGTGAACCCCACCTCTCGCCCATAGACAGCTGGAGATGGGTACCAGCACCCCTCGTGACCCCGCTTGGGATAAGCATGATGGAAAATGGATGGATGGATTTGTCAGGGTGGCCAGTTTAAGCAAAGACATGTTATTCGGTGAAATCAAATTTTAAAAAAGGTTATGATATTTACCAGAAATTAGGTTGCAAAAATTTAAAAGAATTTAACTAATTGCATAAGAAATTACATTTTAATAGACATGGGCTTATTTCTAGATGTAAAGAAAAATAATCTGTCATCAAAAACTTTGCAAATGTTCTATAATACAGCGAATAATGAAGAGTTTCTCTGGTGGATGGAGCGTGGTATGTTGCAGCTTTACCACTGCTTTAATATGCTGGCTGTAAAAGGTCCTGAACCTTTCCGTCACTTACAAGAATGAGAAATATAACTTTTGTGAAATACTTCAAGTTCCTAAGAAAAGCAGACAGTTAGCCATAGTGTGGAAACTAAAGCAACACCACCTATCACAGTTATCAAAGAAACATTTCAAAACTACTATTAGCACACTATGAGAAGCAGGTTGGCTGCTCATCCAGTAAGTCCCAACTACAAAGGACTCAGCTGTGAGCTAAACAGCAACATTTTAAAATATTCTGCAAAACTATAGCTTTAATGAACTCTACTTATTGAAGTAAAAAACATAGATAATTTTTTTCCCCCTGTAATATCTAATAAGTTATTATAATCATGCTGCTTTTGCACAGTTTCTACCTTAGTCAGTTAAATAACATGCTGCTGTCATTTTGCACATCTCTGATGTTGCTGCTATTTTTCAATCATCCATTACAGTGAAAATTTCCATAGCTGTAAAATGGTTATTCATTCTCCAGATGCATAGTATTTATATTGCTAAAACATTTTACAGTACAGTATTTCATTTGTTTTTTCTCTATAATATTATTCTTATACACTTTTCTAAGGTCCACATTTTTCTATAATCTTTTTGCTCCTGTAAACACCAGAATTTCCCCATTGTGGCACAATACAAGGATTTTCTATTCTGTTCTTTTAATTTTGTAATAATATTTAAAGCAAATTGTTATTAAATGGTGATTGTGTTGTAACTCCTAAATCTGTCCTAAATTGTCTCAGAAAATCCATCACCTGGTTAAAAGAGTAGCTAGATGTTTAAAATGTAAACCTAAAACACATTTTTTCCTGTTTATAGTTTTCCCCCGTCCATTCACGCAAACTTGGAATGACAAGGAGACAGAGAGACCGGAGGGTCAGTAACACACTCAGATCTTAAATGTATATGTTTCTAAGATAAGCATTGACTCAAACAGAAACTGCTCTGTTTCTTTTAGGACTTAAAAGAAGATGAAAATCCTGAGGCAAAAGCAAGACGGCACAAGGAGATGGAGGTACTGGCATATGTTTGGAATGAAACACCATTGTTCCACCTTGAGTCGCTAACTTTGATTTCTGTCTATAGCTGAAGCCTCTTTATAAGGAGCTTCTGTACACCATCACCCATAAGATGGGTAAACCTGCATCACCAGAGGTCTTCACAGAAAGCCAGCTTCACCAGTACATCCGGGAGGTAATCTCCCTTTACTGATTAACAGCAGGCATGGTTTGGCCGATTGCTGACACTTTCCTTTCTATCTACCAGGCTTTCACTATGACAGAGGCAGAGCACGACAGTCTGATGGAGAAAGTACAGAGCACAGAGGTGAGAAAAGGAAATCAACTTGAGTTTTTTTTTTCCATTCCCTTTTAATCATTTGAGACCCCGGCATCTATATATAGATTTCACAGAAAGAACCTTAACTGGTCTCGTCCATGCAACGGAGGCATTGATGTTGTTCATACTGCTTTATTTTCAAAGTAATTGACTATTTGTGAAACTCCCAACAGCCACCAGTATACTGCCTGATGGTCACCGTTAAGGAAGCTAAGGAAATCCTTGGAAAAGACGTCAGTGGTGAGTTCCTGTTTAACCTCTAAAAGTCAACACGGCTTAATTAGTAGCTAGCCTGCCATTGGGTGCTTTACAAAAACTCTTTTTTGTTTTTCCAAAGTATCACCTTAATACGAGTAACGGTGGTGCTCTTTTTGTTTCTGCACCTGATCCACTTGTTGATTGGAACTATTTACAAAAAGATGGGGTTTTTTTGTTTTGTTGTTTTTTATTAACCAAAGGAAAGGTGAAGTAACCATCTTTAAGCCAGCTGACAGGCAGTGCTAATGCACAATATGATCCAAAGAGTCTGAGCCTGGGTTACCCTCACATTTTCTTTTGCTTATCATTCACTGTATTGATAGTGTAACACTTTTGAAGCCATAAATTTGAACAGTTTGGTATATTTTTGCCTACCTGGGGATGAAGACTTCCACTTGAACTGTTATGGATAAAGATAAGCCTAAAGATAACTTTTAAGCCTCATGATTGTCTTGTTCTCTTTTGTCATTTCAGAGAACTCCCCCTATCAAATATAGCCTAAATAGTCCTGAGCACTTGATGAGAGAGTAGAATATTAAACATCTAAAAAATATATTATTACATGAACAAAAAAAAAGCAATTGCAAAGAACACTTACATGATATGTTCACATAACGTTTCTAAAAACCTCTTATTAGGTCTGATGTGTCTAGATGTACCAGCTTCTTACTTATTAATATATCTTCCTTATTCTAAATATATTTTTGAAAGTACACCTCTTCTTGGGCTAAGTGGTTCTCAATTTTTTACACCTCAATAAATAGCTTCTCAATATGGAAGAGGATTAGGGCCACTGCAAAAATTAAAAAAAGTTAACTGATTTTTAAATATTATTTCAGTTTAATATGAGGAAAAAGTCAGAATCCTACCTTAAATCTCAGAATTCTGACTTAAATCTCAAAATTCTGACTTTTTACCTCAGAATTCTGACTTTAATCTCAGAATTTTGGATCTTAATGTAGATGGACACCATGAAGGAAGAGATATGGAAGCACTCAGCTTCACTGACAAAGATGTGAGTTGTTTGAGAGGGTCAGTAACACATTGGTGGAAAATAACGGAATTGGGTGCCTTTTTACATGCCCGAGGGGTCCCCGGTGATGCTTTTTCATTAATGGAGGAGTAGAAGGTGATTAAAACAAGAGAGCTAGTTTAGTCTCTAAAACAGACATGACTACGGCTTAATGCTAACATGTTTGTTAGCTATCAAAATTCAGTCAGAAGAAAAAAGT